TGTATGCTCACGCTCAACCCTTTCATATTGGTTTAGCTTGCTCCTTTGAATTGGATTGGATTATGTGATTGAAAAACACAATTTAGCCAATGAAATTGGACACTTGACTGTTCCCTATGGTGACTAAGGAAACAACGTGGGATTATCCATGAAAACAACTTTACAACTCCTAAGCCAAGTTGTAGAGGGGTCATTGCTGTCTGTCTTGGCAATATAATTGTCACTGACTCAATGCTCAATTTTCATTTTCTTTTTGGCTGAATCTGGGATATTTTTTTCTTTTTTCTCATTACATTCTAATGAAAGGACTATAATATTACTTTAAAATCAATTTTTCATCGGTAGCAATCCTAGAATGCACGGAAACTTCTTTAAAATAAATTTGTCATCAGTAACAAAATAATTATAATGCTACATTTCGTGTGTCGGTCGTCCTAAGTGCTCTATCAATTTAATGATATGTAGTATCATTGACGTAATGATAGTAAAAAAGAGAGAATACCAACACAAGATAGATTAAAACTGTAGGGGGTTAGTTCAACGATATAAAAAGAAAAACAAAGAAAAGTAAAGTAAATAAAAAAATTTGTTAAAACTAAAATTAATTAAAGTAGTAATCAAATTTAAAATAAATAAGCAATAAAAATTCAAATTAAAGATAAAATTAATTAAATACAATTAAATACAATAGTCCCCGACAACGACGCAAAAAAACTTGGTCCTCTGAAAATCCGCAAGTGTACGAGATCATAGTCAAGTAATATAATAATGAATAGAGTGTAGAACCCACGAGTACTATGTGTTTGATCGAGTTAAAATTAATTGTAACTTTAATCGATTAACGTACAAATTTTGTGATTTTTTCTATTCTAATACCTAAATTATCAATTAAACTAATGAAAGTAAATAAATATGTTTTTCAAATATGTGAGATGTATTGCTAAGATGTCGAATCCCCCATATTATTCTATTTTTAGTATAACAATTAAAGTGATAATTTGAAATCATTCATGTTAGTCAATATTCCTAATTTAATTGAAAGCCTCTCTTGATAGCGATCAAATCTATTCTCATCATGTGACCCTTCTATCTCTCGATAAAATATAATAAATGCATTAACAAGTACTACAACACCTATTGAAATCATATAAAGCATAAATGTATATTTTTATCCTCTATCGAACCTTACAATGTTTATTATAATGTGTTTAAACCCTATTGTCTCTCTCGAAAATAATAAAATTCACTAAAAATTCAATTGATGATCGAACAATTGAAAATAACGATAAAAACGATAATAAATATCCACAAATCAAATCAAATTAAATTCAAAAAATTAATTAAAAACTAAAAATATTATAACAAGGGTTCATCTCATCCTAACAATGTATAAAATTATCATAACATATTGAAATTACAAGAAATCATATTTAAGTGAAAAAATATAACCCTAATTTTAGATTAATTGAGAAAATGAAGATGAATATTGAAATCTTAAATCTCTTCAATGGTTTCTTGATAAATTTATACTTGCGTCTTCTATTCTTTGCCCAAAAAGCAAGTTTGAATCTTCACTTGATTGAATTCTTGCAAATCTTTTTCAATTCTTTCACAAAAATAATGAATTATCCTACTTTGATGATAATAATTGATGATTATTGCTGTATGAGATGTATATGAAACGTCCTCAATACATATTATGTTGTTAAGTATTTGTATAAGTGGAAAATTGATTAAAAATCATGTCCAAATTGACTTCAAAAAGAGTTCCAGTCGAATAAGAAAAGTTATCTTTGTGAGCATATTTTTGTCTCTGCACAGCATTCAGTATTTTGACAATAACTTTCTCTCTTAATCTCCGATTGAAGCATTTCAAAGTGCGTTGAAAATATAATTCAAAGGGATACAACTTTTCTAGAAATAGAGTTTTCCAAATTCGGACGTTTACTATTCCAAAAATGGGTTTCAATCCTTGATTAAAAATATGGAATATTACTTGTGCGATTGAAAATTTATTTCAATCATATTCCATTCCCTTTTGAGTTTTAATTCCATTCAATTGTCTCCTAACAACCTTCAAAGTGTCATCTTGTGGTCCAAATCAACTATTGAATTTGCAATTTGATAATCAAACTTTGAATTTTGCCATTTTCACAAATTTTCCCTTCTTTCTTTCAATTTCTCGTCGAAACATTGAGTTTTACCTATACAACATAGGATACAATAATTTAGGATATATTTTGTCAAAATAATTGTCAAATATTGATATTTTAGGTCCTGAATAAGTGTATAAAATACACTTATCAGTTTGGTTTGTTTAGTACCACATTCCAGTATTTTTAATTTTTGATAAAAACATGTTTTCAAATCTAGCACCAAGCAAGAAAATCCACATTACTAGCACCTTTCCTACATGGCTTGAATCACTTACACAAACGTGCCACGTCATGTATTTCTTCCGTCACATCATCAAGTCTGTCAAGTTTTTTAACGGAAGTTTATTTGGTGATGGTTGGAGTTGCTATTTCGAATGAATGACGTAGTTTTTGAAATTTAGTAATCTGGCGAAAAATTTAAGTAAAGTTCAGTGATGGTTTAAGTAATTAACCTCGTTTTCACGCATATTTTTCCTACTCTTTAATAAAGCATTTTTCAAAAAAAAAAAAAAAAATAGTTTTCAAAATTTTTTTTGTCAAACTCGAAAAGAGAAAAGAAAAAGAAAAGTATTTGGGTTTGGTTGGGGCATTGTTCATCTCTTATTAGAGAGATAACAAACCTACCCTCGCTTATCTACGTACCAAACTCCTGCCCTCCCCACCTACGACTTGAAAAAAATATAATGGGGTTATGACGTCATTACTTTTGGGTTGCTAATGCGTCATTTGTCATTGTATTATTGCAACGAATTGGTCATTTAGAAATATCAAACATACAATCCAATTATATTCTTTAATCACGTTACATAGACATAATAGTTGATATAATTCTTAATATAATACCACATAACAATTTATCATTAGACCGTTTAAAACAAAGTCGACATTTTCATCCAATCATATATTATCAACACATATTATATCAACTATTATATAACAAAGTAACAATATTTTATATTCTTATCGTCTGACTTTGTACATATGCCATTAGCATTAAATTTGAGATTGAACATCCACCAATAGCATTTCATTTATTTGTGATTGGATAGTCGCCAATAACATTTTTTTTTTGGGTGAAAAATGCTATATGTAAAGCATGGCGTACAACCCCCCACATCATGAATAAAATCCCCCACACATGTTTTATGAGTAATGCTATGTAACCTCATTGGGGTTACAACTCCAGTTTAGGTAACTTTAAATGATAGGTTAAATGAAATGTAAAATTAAATGATTTGTTTAATTTCACCTATCAGTTAATGCCACATTAACATCACCTAGAATGAGGTTGTAACCCCAATGAGGTTAAATAACATTACTCATGTTTTATTCATAATGGCCCCCTCACACTAAACTTCCATATTGATATTCCACGTTTTTGACACTAGAAGCAATAATTAGTTATTAAGGAGGTGCGTGCTTTCTTTTTGAAAATTGTAAAACTATTTTCTAAGGTTTGCTTTTCATTT